ATTAACTTTTTTTTTGTATTTTCTACTTTTCCTATTACAAAACATCAGGTGAATCCCCGCTCATTCCTTATTCCATTTTCAGACGACAGTTTCACATGCGACTCAGTCGTGTCCAGTTCTGCATAGTAACAGTGAAGTGTTCACCGACTATAAATTAAAGTTAGGCTGTCACTGCTGCTTAATTTTTTATTTCTTATCTTTTGACGTTAGCAAACACCTGCCGTATAGTGTAGAAATTGAACTGAGTACACCACTGTTTTACAATATCGGTTTCCTTGTTGTAATTTATAAGGATATATCTCTGAAGGTATTTGATTATATACGGTGTTGTAACTGTTTGAATCTAACATTGTTCTATCTCTAGAACTTATTTTAATTTTAATCTTATTTGTTTACTTTTACAAAACCATAACTTTGAATGAGTAGTAAAAGATTCACACAGATTTTTAATTTGTTAAATATTAAGTTTCATATCAAAATGTTATTTGTTTCACATACATTTTTATTATAATATAACAAACTTTATTTATTTTACAACAATTATGGAACAACTTATATCAACTTATATCAATCACTCTAGATACCCAGATGCTAGCGCGCAGGGGGTCTTAATGTGGGAGGAAACAGTAGTACCCGGGTAACCAACGTGGTCGCGCAGGCGACCCTATCACTGTTCAAGTCCGATTTGGGAGACGAACCCCGGTCGCCATGGTGAAAGGCAAGTTAATAGTTCATGAAATGAAGACTGGTTAGTTTAGAGAAGTAAATGTATTTGACTTTTATTGACATTTAAATTTTATGACTGAGGTTTAACATTGCATACTGCTCCATGATTGTGAGCTCTGTCCTTGTATGCGTACCTGCCATAATCATTAAATTTTCAGTCAGCTTTTGTGACTCATACCACAGTCACGTTTATAATGTAAATGTCCAGTGCACAGCACTTCTGTAATATGTACAGTACAGTATGTCCATCCTTCATTCAGTGTGTGCTGCTTGCATGCAAAAGATGTAATTTTACAGTACAGTCGAAATTCGTTAATACTTGAACATACATTGCTTTATATATTCCTATATATTCAACAACTATATGAATGATTTGATAAGGATTCAAAATGCATTACACATAGAACACTGAGGAATCCAATTGCAGTTTTTTGGACATAAAATAATCTTCCTGTAATTTCATTTTGGATATAACAAGGTACTTCCGTTAGCCAGGTAGCACAGTCGGTAAGAGTTATGATATAACAAGGTACTTCCGTTAGCCAGGTAGCACAGTCGGTAAGAGTGATGATATAACAAGGTACTTCCGTTAGCCAGGTAGCACAGTCGGTAAGAGTGATGATATAACAAGGTACTTCCGTTAGCCAGGTAGCACAGTCGGTAAGAGTGATGATATAACAAGGTACTTCCGTTAGCCAGGTAGCACAGTCGGTAAGAGTGATGATATAACAAGGTACTTCCGTTAGCCAGGTAGCACAGTCGGTAAGAGTGATGATATAACAAGGTACTTCCGTTAGCCAGGTAGCACAGTCGGTAAGAGTGATGATATAACAAGGTACTTCCGTTAGCCAGGTAGCACAGTCGGTAAGAGNAAATGGATGCTTACAGTGCTTTGCAGTTGTACTTGGTTCCACTGTATTGTGTTATTACATCGTTTTATTGTGATGTACCCGTCAATAAAACGAGCAATAGCTGCTTGTATGATTTGATGAAAATACAAAGGTTTTGATATTGAGGTCACACTCAAAAAACATTTTCGATTTCAAACAAACTAAATGTCTTAATCTATAAAAGACACCAAAAAAACTAATCTGATCAATAATGCTAATTGGAACGATGACTAGTATTTTATTCAGAGTAATGGTGCCCTGATCTCGTGGTCAATATTCCGTCTTTTCGTATTGCAGAGTTATCTTCTCTTGTAAGCAGGTATTGATTATTAAGTCATTGTTTTGAGTGATTTTCTCACACAAACCAATGACGTAACAATCAATACCTGCTCACAAGAGAAGATAACTCTGCAATATGCAAAGACGGATTATATGTCCGAAATGGTATAAAATGAGTATATCTAATATTAATTATTAGCAACATTCAAATTGCTGTTTTAAGCATGACTCTACGATGCCAGTTCATTTCAGACATGGTAGTTCTGAAACTGTGAGTTTTATTCAAGCACACATTCTATTCATCGTAACCATGACCTTAACCTTGGGCATGCTGTATCCAACACTTTGTTATTGGAAGGGGCGACTAATATGGAGGCTCCTGCAGCATAAGGGGTTCGCTTCTGTGTCTTATTCTTCGGGGACATTGTAGAAACCAAAATAAATCTGCTGCCCCTATTACAACAAGTGGGATCTACCTTGTTTTCTTATTTACTTACCTATCTTTCCTTTTCGGCAATATCGCCCAAGACATCCTTCTTCATATGAGCTAAACTGTTGCTACGACGTTAAAACCCAAAGCATTAATTACATTTACAGAATTGTATAATCAAATTGATTTTGACCAGACATTTCGAATTGACCTTGACCTAAGCTTTCGGCCCTAAGACGACAATTTGTTCAGATTTAAGTAACACTTCACACTTCCGTTCAATTCGAACTCAAGATGGAGACAGNACCAAAATAAATCTGCTGCCCCTATTACAACAAGTGGGATCTACCTTGTTTTCTTATTTACTTACCTATCTTTCCTTTTCGGCAATATCGCCCAAGACATCCTTCTTCATATGAGCTAACTGTTGCTACGACGTTAAAACCCAAAGCATTAATTGCATTTACAGAATTGTATAATCAAATTGATTTTGACCAGACATTTCGAATTGACCTTGACCTAAGCTTTCGGCCCTAAAACGACAATTTGTTCAGATTTAAGTAACACTTCACACTTCCGTTCAATTCGAACTCAAGATGGAGACAAAGTTGACAAATGAATGCGTGGCGTTTGGAAGAATTGATGTAGGCAAGGGTGTCTTACAAAAAGCTTACAAGTATCTCGGAGTAAGCGAACGATTCCTGTTACCCTTCCTTGTATTTCACTAGTCACTTCTCTAATTATGACATCACGAAATAATGCTGTTAAGCGGAATCTACCATTGTGATGTCATTTTTCGATAGCCCATCGAGCTAAACGTTACATATCTTAGTCACATGGGCTCAAAGATTTAGAATGTACTTGTGTCCTCGTTATGNCTCAAGATGGAGACAAAGTTGACAAATGAATGCGTAGCGTTTGGAAGAATTGATGTAGGCAAGGGTGTCTTACAAAAAGATTACAAGTATCTCGGAGTAAGCGAACGATTCCTGTTACCCTTCCTTGTATTTCACTAGTCACTTCTCTAATTATGACATCACGAAATAATGCTGTTAAGCGGAATCTACCATTGTGATGTCATGATTTGATAGCCCATCGAGCTAAACGTTACATATCTAAGTCACATGGGCTCAAAGATTTAGAATGTACTTGTGTCCTCGTTATGTTTGCTAATGTGATTTGTGCTATTCATGTCACAGTACTAATGTGTTGTACAGCCAAAAGTTGGTTAACGAACTCTGACTCATAAAGAGTTAAACATGGGGATTTCGTAGACTTCAAAATTTTCAAAGAACGTTACCATACTTGTACTTTCATACAGGAAGGATATAATTCTTCCGGGCAACCTCCCCAACATACACATACAGGGATTGATATATCACGCGCTTCTTACATACTCCTTGAACTTAAAGGCATCCTCGATATCCAGAGGTTACGCTCACTTTCGCTCTCTTCACCCCTGGAATATGTCATAGAAAAAATGAAGGCACGAAGATAGCTGTTTGTTTGGTCTCAGGTAAAAAAAAACTGACCAATCGCTAGGCTGATACCTGTCCTTTAAAGGAGAGACGNACTTCAAAATTTTCAAAGCACGTTACCATACTTGTACTTTCATACAGGAAGGATATAATTCTTCCGGGCAACCTCCCCAACATACACATACAGGGATTGATATATCACGCGCTTCTTACATACTCCTTGAACTTAAAGGCATCGTCGATATCCAGAGGTTACGCTCACTTTCGCTCTCTTCACCCCTGGAATATGTCATAGAAAAATTGAAGGCACGAAGATAGCTGTTTGTTTGGTCTTAGGTAAAAAAAACCTGACCAATCGCTAGGCTGATACCTGTCCTTTAAAGGAGAGACACCAGACTTCAAAGCCAGTCAATAATTACCGTTACGTGACCGCGAGATTCTTTTGATGTATATCAAAGTCTTCTCGACCCATCAACAAGGTGGCGCACACTAAGCCTTCAATTTTGCTACGACATATTCCAGCGATGTAAATAGCAAAAGTGAGTGTAATCCCTGGATATCGAGGATGACTTAAAGGTGACATGGCATGGAATCACCGAACCTGAACCTTCAAGTGACCTCTAGAGATGAAGGCTCTGCTCTGAGGAGGTGTAGGAAAGAAAAGCACATTGAGAAATTCCTTGTGGACAACATCTCCGTTGAGGTCGGTGGCAAGCTTTTCCAGTAGATTGTAGGCACTACTATGGAAACAAACAGTGCCCCTCTTTTGGGCGATTTTTTTTATATTTTCATATAAAGCGGAATAAATTGATGAGCTCATCAGGACTGGTAACAAACACCTAGCACAATCCTTCAATTTCACATTCAGATATAAATGTATTGAGTATCGACGATATGATGTATTTGCATAAAAATATAATATTGGCCACATCGATCGCATATACATCCACATACAATCATTCAAAAACAACCTATCAGATATATCGCTAGCCCCTACTTCAATTTTGATTTAATACCCACTCGACGGGTATGTGTATCTGTCAGCACAGTACGATCTCGGCCTACTTTAAATATACACATGTAACTTAAAATAGAGCATGTTTTCATATACCCGGACGGTGAATGTATTCGGAAATTCCGATGATTGTCGCCGCCATATTGACAACCCTGAAATAGGTGTACAAAACGCTGGACAAGATGGCGGCCCAGATACCAGTAGCTGGTTGTCCCCGACATCAAGGGATGGGGTTTGTTTATGTCTGTAAATCGTGCGAAGACCAGTTACTTTGTATGGAGTGTGTTACAGACAGTCACAACGGCCACACGCTGGGTAAACTTACTGATTACGTGGCGGGTCAGAAACGGGAAATACAGCAGTATGCCGACAAGCTCTCCAAAATCGATATTCCCAAAACCGAAGGAGATATTAAGGAAAGTGGACAGCATGCCAAGAGTGGACGATATCAGAAAATGATTGAGGGAATCAGACGTCAGGGAAAACAGATGAAAGATAACATCGACAACGCCATTGACATACTACTGAGAATGTGTACCGAGTTAGAGGAGCGCAATGCAGATATTTCTGAGAAAAACAAAATTGCATTTACTAAGTATCTGAGGGAGGACTTGAAACCAAAGCTGGACAGGTGCAAAGTAGTACTGACATCCGGTACAACTGTTGACGTCACTGCATTAGCGCGGGAAATTAGAAACGGTGTAGCCACTATCCCACCAAATCTCAGTGATTTGCAGAAAATTGAATTCAAACCCGGGACAATCTCCACCGAACTCTTAGAACGCATGCTTGGTAAGCTACTAGTCGATGGAGTAGATGAGTCGTACAAACCGATTCCTAAATGTGTGGTTTTGTACGAGTTTAAGGCGCCGTTTCCACACGATACATGTCAAACATGTCTTACTGGTGACGAGGAATGGTCATCGCACTGGGACAGTAAAACTATATATCGAGTGGATTTGAAAGGCATAGTCAATGAGAGGATAGAGTGTCAAGTCAAAGTCTCATCGATCTCCATATCCCCGACCACTGGGAGAGTGTGGTTCTGTGTGACGAGTGACCGAAGTATCCGTGAAATCATGACGGGTGGCGATATTGTCACACGCTTTAATGTAGACAACACACCAGGTTCTTTGTGTATCACTAGTGACGACATGGTAGTGGTGGGGATGACTGGAGGAATACAACTCTACACTACAGACGGACGGGCGGTGTCGGCAGCAGCGGGCGGTCCCTGTAAACAGGTAGCAGATTGACCACACCACATGACGTCATGTACACTGACCGGGGATGTAGCTGCTGTTGATAGTGAAGATATATCGTTTGATGACTACATGGCTGGTAAGAAACCAGGCAAGCAACCGTCCGTCATCGTGATGGATAAACACCTAAACCTGAAGTTTTGCTGTAAAGACATTGGTACGAGGAAAACACACGGAAGTGACATTCAATCATCAAAGTTTTACCCGGAAGATGTTTGTTTTGATGGAGCTGGTGATATCCTTGTAACGGAATTTGTCACCAAGTCAGTACTACTGATTGACAGGAATACTGGACACTACATGAGGACTGTTTATACATCTGATGGAAGTGTACCTTTGTGTATCAGTCTGAGTGATGATGGCACCCTCTGGGTCGGACACGGAAACAAATCAACAANAGATAAACTCATTTCATTTCCTTACGTTACCATAGTAACAATAAACATTGATGTTCCTCAGCCACCGCCATCGTCAGAAAAGTGATTACCTCCGTAGTCATACAGAAAACATGGTCAGGATTAGGATCATAAAGTGTTTTGTGACATCTGTAACATGTCTAATAGAACACAGTGATTTGTGTATAATGTGACTATGGAGTGTTACGAGGATATTCGAAAATAAAATTATCTGGACAAACGGGAAGTTTATTTTAACTCTCTCCTCCGTCACAAGGGATATGCATTGTCTTGAAAAGGGACCTGGCGCTTACAAACTTTTTGATAAACCGGAAGTTAACTTTGATACTCTCTTCTATACAAAGCCATTAATTACCGTTCTATTGAAAAAGAAAAAGAACCTGGTGATTAGAATTAACTTTTTTTTATTTGTGATATGTTTAATGATGATGCTAATTCTTTTATGCCAAAGAAATGAACAATTGTATGAGTGGAAAAAATTACCAAAATGGGAAAAATATTCAGGCTCTCGGTTCATCAAAGATCCTGTCAATATTTGATGTTAATTTTGTTATATCATGTTCAAGTTCCTTATCAAAAAGCTATTTAACATGACTTTGAAATAATGACTCTGGAGATATATATTTTATCTGATATGAGTTTTAAAGCTTTGATTACATATAAACTGTTGTGATTCAAAATCAAGTTCAAATCTACAGAATGTTACAATGATGATGTGAAAATTGTAATTTTGGTTATCAGCACGTTCCACCAAATCTGATTTTACTTGACACAGGTATTACTGATGTCAGTCTCTGAGACAACTGAACGGTCAAACGGTCAAGATCATTGATGTGTGAACTATATATTGTCCTTTCTTATATTTATGTAAAATATAATATGCTCCTACCAAAAAAATGTAAATATGTACATCCCTTTTACGTGCTATGTATTGTACCTATTATCATGACATTTGCTCTTTGTGAGTTGCTTTGAAATAAACAAGTAATTTTACTGTGCGTCGGAAATTTATTTGTACTTATACAGACATACATTATTTTGATATTCCTATTTAAGATATAATATGCATGTACATGTTGTACTTTAAGCCCCCCCCCCAACCGGTGTCGAAGGGGGGGGGGCGGCTATATGTTTGCATTCCGTCCGAGAAGCTTGTTCCGGGGCATATCTTCTATACTATTTCACCTGGAGTAACCAGATT